TTGGTAATATTTTTTGAAAGATTTTTTTTTTAAGTTCGGAGAAAGAGATAGCTCCCATCTGCTGAGTCACTCCTCAAATGGTCCAAATATAAGCAAGATTTACTTTGTGTGTGGGTATGTCTGGTTTATTTTACTTGGCATAGTATCTTTCAGGTTTGTCCATGTTGTTGCAAATAGCAATATCTTCTTTTAAGAAATGAATGATATTATATATGTATGTATAATATAATATATAACAGTATGTAATGTAATATATACGATGTAATATATAATATAACTTTGATATGTAATATATATTGTCATTCCTCCACCTATCCATCCCATCCCTCAGTGGTTCTATTCACTGATCCACGGGTACCCAGGGCTTTTCATATCTTAGCTGTTGTGAACAACGCTGCAATGAGCATAGCTATCTGGCATCTCTATGAGGCTCTGACCTCACTTCCTTAGGGTTTGTGCCTGTAGAGGCATTGCGGGTTAGATTTTTGATTTTGTTATGGCATACCCATGCTCTTTTTCTTAATAGCTGTAGTATTTTGTATTCCCACATGTTCTTTGCACACATCCTTACTGACACCTGTTATCTTTCTTTTTTTTTTTTTTCTGTGAAGTTGCAAACTGTATTAGATTCCAGCAACACAGTCATAGAATGGTGACATTTTTTGGAAAAAAATGATTGTTAAAGCTATTTCTTTTTTTTTTTTTATTGTTGCTTACATTGTATTATGTAGTACAGTTTTATAGGCGCTGGGGATTCCCTCCACCTCTCCCATACCCCTCCCCCCATGGTGGATTCCTCCACCTTGTTGCATAACCATAGTTCAAGTTCAGTTGAGATTCATTGCTTGCAAACACATGCCTAGCATGAAGTTCAGCGTCTTATTGTCCAGATAAGTTCAGTGGCCTCTTGGGGAGACCTTCTATGGTCTGAAGATAGGTCTAACAGAGTAAAGATCCGGTCAGTTAAAAGCCCCAACAAGGCCTCAGTATCAATATACAACATTATGGAATTAATTGACATAGTATTGGGTAAACAATATGTTAAAAATAATGCAAGTTCCATTCTTCGAAACATCTGGGTTGAGACAGTATCAATGACAGGTTCAAAAAATAACAAACAACCATACAAAATTTACAGGTTAAATCAAGGCAAACATGTGGTATCTAATCTTTTGGGATTCACTCATTTCACCTGTTATCTTTCAACCTTTTTGTAATATTCTCCCTAGCAGGTGTGAAATGATATCTCACCGTGATTTCCATAATGATGTGGGCATCTTTTCACACTTTGTTGTCCTTTCTAAATCTGTTTGAAGCTTGTTTTTTTTTCAGGTCCTTTGACTATCTAAAAATGTATTATTACTATTATTTGTGAAAGATTTGTGTGACTTCATATTTTAGATAATAATATCTTACTAGATATATTGCTTCCAAGCATCTTCCAAGTATCAATTGTGATTTGATTTTTGGTAATACTTCCTTTGTCATGCAAAAGCATTTCAGTTTGAAGTACTTGTGTTTATTTATTTCTTGTTTTGTTGTCTATGCTTTTAGTGTCATATCCAAAAATAACAAATATAATGAGCAGTGTCAAATAGCTTTCCCATATTTCTTTTCTTCTAGGATTCTTTAAGAATTTCAAGTCGTATATAAAAGAATTTTAAACACCGTGAATTAGTTTTTTTAAAAAAATTTTATCTTATTCATTTGAAAGGTAAAGTTTCAGACAGAGAGAAGGAAAGTAGAGGCAGGGAGAGAGAGAAGGAGAGATGGGGAGAGAGTCCTTTCATCAGCTGGGTCACTATCAAAATGGCTCTAATGGCCAGGGCTGGACTAGGCTAAAGCCAGGAGCCAAGAGCCAGGAGCTTCTCCTGGAACAATCTTTGCCAATTTCTCTGGCACATTAGCAGGGAGCTGAATTGGAAGCAGGGCAGCCAGGACTGAAACTGATGCCTGTGTGGGATGCTTGTGCTGCAGGTAGCAGCTTAGCCCTTTTGCTGTAGCATTGGCCTTTTGAGTTAGTTTTTCTAAGTTATGTAAGGTAAGTATGCAGTAAATTCTTTTGCTTGGAGAGAGTTCAGTTTTCTCAGTACAGTTTATTGAAGTGATTCTCCTTTCACTATTGGGCACATTTGTGTCCCACTGAACTATTAGCTGTATATTCTTGAATTTATCTCTGAACTCTGCTTTCTGTTCCATTCATATATAATACATCTGTGTTTATGTCAGTATCATACTGGTTTGGTTACTGTAACTTTGTAACAATTTAAAGTTAGAAAATCTTGTTTTGGCACTTTTTCTTTTTTGTTGTCTCTCAGGAGAGTTATGGCTGTTCTGAATTTTCTGTGATTCCAAATATATTCTTGTTTTCCCTATTTGTATGAAAGTTGTCATTAGAACTTTGGTAGCATTTGTGCTGAACATCTGTATTACTTTGGGTCGTGGGGACATTTGAATGTCTTTTTCTCACTTGCTCCCGGTAGATCCTCTTTGACAATCTATGTCTTCTTGTGTGTTTGTCTTGTTTTATGTGTATTTCTCTTTAAGTATTACCCACTTACTATATTCAGACATTACTGATTCGTTAATGCTTAAGTTAGTCACACCTTAGCTGGCACTGAGTGACGCTTCTTGAACACATGCATTTTCTAAAGCACCCCAAGTCTTCCAGCCTGTGAGTTCCCTGATCCGCTCCGCCTTTGGCAGGCAATTCACATAGCGAAAGGACGAGCAAAGAGCACAAAAGGAGACGGCAGTGCTGCTGAGCCTTGGTGTGGTCCAGTTCCAGCTGAGTCAACTTTTCCCTGAGTGTTCATGTTTGTGAATGGCCCTGCTGTGTATCTTACACTTGGGATGTCAACACATTTTAATAAGCAGAAAAAATCAGAAATTCATAGTACACACATGGTCACTTGCATGTAATTTGCAGACATTTTCTCTGACACTGTAGCTTTTGTTTTAATCCTCTTAGCAGGATTATTTTCTTCTTTCACAGGCCAGAAGTATTTAATTTTAATGAAATGTATTTGTTTTTCTCTTTTTGGATCTTTCTTTCAGTGTCAAGGAGAATACTTTCTTAGCTCTATGTCTAGCATATATTCAGAAACTTCTGCTTAAGATTTATAGCTTTATGTTTTTCATTTAAGTTAGTGGTCCATGTTGAGGCAGTGTTGCATGAAGTGTGAGATTAAAGAGTTTATTTGTTTCTGTTTTGTCTGTGGATGTTCAATTACTTCAGGGCAGTTTACTGAAAAAAAAAAAAAAGAAAGAAACAAGAAAAGCAACTCTCATTGCTCCAGCAAATTTCTTCTAACACTTTGATGTAACATCAGAGGGCATATTTATGCTGTCACTACCGCTGAGGGGAGGGTTGGGGTCCAGGCTTCCTGCATTGCCCTTTTGTAAACTGATGGCGTGTGCGGCCCTTGTTGTTTTAACTCTGTCAGCAGAGTTGGAGAGGAGGCAAAGGGCATAGCTGCAGGCAGGAAGTTGCGTTTACGTGACGTCACAGAAGACTGGGCAGCACTGAAGGTGATGGGACGAGAGAAAGCAGAGGTGCACTGGGTGAAGATGCATTTAGGGGTATGACATCTCTGTAAGCTAAGACGTCCATGATACAGAGAAGTAGATATTTTAAAATATGGTAGAAAGTGCACGTATAAACTGAGTTTCTGCTATGTTATCACTTATGCACACAAATCTCTTCCTTTAGAAACAGAGCAGTCCCGTGTCCCAAGCATTGCCAGGAACTTTCCCCACTGTGTTTCTTTTCCCTTCTCTTCAATATATCAGTGCTATGCTATCAGTAACCTCTTGTAGCTCCTCCCACTTTCCCTGCAAGTGCAGAAGCAGCCTTGCAAGTTCAAAGCCTTGCAATTCACAACGCTTTCTTGTGAGCACTTGGAAACATTTGTGGCATCATCATTGCTCTCCTCTTTCATTGATTTCAAGTCTGTTGAGAAGTACAGTGTCAATGAGCGAAGTGCAATAGGGTGGACCCAGAACTTCCGTCTCCTGTAGCTCAGTGACCTCATGGTTGGGAGTGCTGGGTTGCAGCTCCAGGTGTGCTTTGAGTGCACTTAGAGACAATTTCCAATGGCAGTGAGGTGTCTGTGATGAACAGAGCACGTGTACAGCAAACACTATTTTTCTACCATTGGATCTGTGTCTGTAGCCGGGATGGCTCAATTTTCAAGCTCTGTGATTTGAATAGTGTGTGTAGCATCTCTGAACTTGTTGCTGAGCCTGTAAAATGAGGAGTAAACACAATTTCCCTGTCATGATTTTGGCTAGCCTACTGGTTAAGATGTCTAGTTTCTACTGCAGAGTACCCAGTTTCAGCACGTAACCCTGGCTCCTGACTCCAGCTTTCTGCTAGTGCATGTCCTGACCAGCAGTCATGGTGACTCAGATGCTGGGATCCCTGCCCGCACAGGAGCCCTGGATGACTTTCTGGGTTCCTGTCCAAGCTCAGGCTGTTGCAGGCCTTTGGAAAATGAAACAGTAGATGAGATCTCTCTCTCTCTCTCTCTCTCTCTCTCTCTCAGACCCTACCAAAATAAGTAAATTAAACTGTGGGTATGAATCTTAGCATGTGCTTTAGCATCCTTGAACTAATGACTCAAGACAACTTATATAAATCAAATCCCAAGAAGACTATTGCCAGCAGACAAGCAGCAGACAGGCTGAGGTCCTCGGAGCCAGGAAATGGCGTCAGAGGAAGTTTTCTACATTTTCATCTCACCTCGTATGTCCCAGGCTAGGGAATCCCACAAGCCAGAAATGTTAACAGCAGTAGGTAAAGCTATACCAACCTGTTTCCTTGGCCAAAGAGTCAGGAAGGAGGCTAAGTATTCCTGTTATTATTGACAGAATGCTCTTATTTTTACACTCAAGTGGTGTTGTGTGCTGCCTAACAATTGTCTTTCAGGATTCAGTGCAAACATTTTATTGAAATCAACTCAGCATGTTCAGCAGCCTGTCCTCTGCTCTTTCCTCAGGTACTACCACATCCAGCTGACCTTGAAGGTATCCTCAAGGATCCCCCACAGACTGAGCGCCTCCATTGTTGGTCAGACAGGTGAGCAGAAGGCGGCCATGGGGCACTCACACCCTATGGTCTGCCTTCGTTCATCTCCACGTGCAAGCGCATAGCAGCCTGCGTGGCACCCATAGGCATGCAGGTGATCATCGGCGAGGGCTGCATGCTGGCATTTGATGAAGGCACACCGTTGGAGTGGCCAGGCTTGCACATTGTTAAAGGGGAATGTGGTGAAAGGTGAACACGCTGTCCCTGGAAGGGCCGGGGAAAGACTGGCTATGCAAGGTTAAAGTCAGTTCAGGGAGGAGCTGGATGAGAAATGCCACCTCGTAGATGCTTAGGGATGTGGCTGTTGCTAAAACACAGAGTGGCAATATAGGGTTGGATAAATGGGCAGTAGAGAGATTCTCATCTGTAACAAGGGATCCTAAAGCATGCTGCCAGTGTGGAGGAAGGCTTACTAGGAACATTCCAGGCGCTGTTCTCAAGGGATCTGAGTACCCTAAGTGGGTACTCAGGGCTCCCAGAAAGTTCTCTGCAATAGAGTGGAGTTAAATACAGATCACATGTTTGCATAGGAAATTAGAATAACATTAGAGAAATGAGTAGAAATGTAAGAACTACCTCTTAGAATGGACTAGAGCAATGAGTAGAAATGTGAGGACTTTCTTGGTAAATGAGGAAATTCTATAAACAAGCTAGACTGTAAGAAGAAGAGGGCCTGGCGTGGTAGCCTAGTGGCTAAAGTCCCTGCCTTGCATGTGTCAGGGCTCCATATAGGCACCAGTTCATATTGCAGCTGCTCCACTTCCCACCCAGCTTCCTGCTTGTGGCCTGGGAAAGCAGTCAAGGATGGCCCTAAGTCTTGGGACCCTGCACCCATGTGGGAGACCTGGAAAAGGCTCCTGGCTCCTGACTTCAGATCGTCTTAGCTCCAGCCATTACGGCCTCTTGGCGGTGAAGCAGCAGACAGATTTTTCTCTCCATTCCCTTCTCTCTGTAACTTTAATTTTCCAATAAAAAGAAATAAACTCTTTAAAAAGGAGGAGGAGAAATACTTAGAGTAGTGGAGGGGACATAAGGCTATAGAAAGAAAGGGCAGCGGAAAATGCGTGAGCTGTGGGAGTGTTATGGACATCACATCCAGCAGAGATAAGAGGTCTGGTCAGAGCCAGGCTTTATGATTCATTTGGAGTTGGCAGCAGTATTAGTGTGAATGAAATCACATCCAATTGATATGCACGTTTAGCAATGCCGTTGCAATGATCTGCTTAGCTATACCTAAGAGGAGCAGGCTCCTCTGGCAGTGCCATCAGGGCAGACATACAGTTCCTGAGCAATCTGCGAACTCAGTCCTGTGGTCTACCAGGAGGAAAGGCACTGCTGAGAAGCTGCTTCTCTCCTGACTGTGGGCAAAGGAAGTGTCAAGAGTGGCCAGGTTGCCGTATTTCCAAGGCGCTCCCAGCATGCTCTTTCCTGACACTGGGAAGAGGTGGCTGCCACCACTTTCTGCCCCTTCTCCACCTGGGAGCATTAGGAAGGCTTACATTCCTCTTCTTGGCTCCCACACTTTGTTGCACCCCTCCCCAATCTTACCATCTACTTCAACTTCTAGAAGGTTGATGGGTTAAGTTTCAGTCCCATCTCAGTGCTGGTCCAAGTCCTGGCTGTTGTACTTCTAATCTCTCCTCCTGTTAATGCTTTCAAGAAAGCAGAGGAAAATGACCCTAGTGTTCAACCATGTGAGGGGAAGCGTAGGGAGTTCTTCCCCCCTGGCCCAGCCCTGGCCCAGCCCTGGCCCAGCCCTGGCCCTGTGGCCATTCGGGAAACGATCCAGTGGATGGGAACTCTCTCTAGGTTCTCCTCTGTTCTCTGTCATTCTCTCTTTCAAATAAAATAAGGCAATTCTTTAAAAGAAATCCACACCTATGCAATTAGAAAATGTAAGTGAAAGAATGGTATGCTTTATAAACATTCAGATGTTTTAAGTGAAAATGTGCCAGGATAGGAAATGGCACAATGAAAGTACCTAATGAGTTGTACGTACGCACAAGATCCTGGGATCCTGGGTGTGAGGGAGGGTCCAGTCCTCAACGTCAAGCCACAGGCCTGGGGAAGAGCCCTGAGCATTGGGAGGAAGCAACACCCCTCTTGGCAGCTGAAAGGCTCTGAGCCCTCCTGACAAGCTCTCTGCCTCTCCCTGCAACTCAGGGCAGCAAGTGCCATCAGCTGTGCCCACTGTGGCAGCCAGAAGACCCCTGGGCAGCCAGTGTCTTGTAACCTCCAGCGAGTGGCTTGCAGAACAGACAGTGCTATATAAAAGAAATAAAAATGTAAAATACTTCTTAAGATTGTGTGTGGGGGTGGGTGGTCAGGGGTGGTGTCTCAATCCCTCTTTCTTATGACTGAGGGGTAATCACAGTGAAGGTGCTAAGCATGCATGTTTTATGCCGTTCTGCTGTTACAACAGACATTGGCCGATGGTTAGCAGTGCATGCACAGGGGCTGTGCACATGGCATTATCATTTGTTCCTGGTTGCATTGCTTTTAGCCAGATACTGCTATACTAAAGCACCCAAAGCTCAGTACTTCGTAACAATGATTTTGATGTCCTTTGTTACCTCCAGCTGACTGGGTTTGACAGGGGTCGTGCATACACTACATGCAGCAGAGATGAGCTGCACTGGGGCATCTGAGACTGCTGGGTGGACCAGTAGGGAATGCCAAACTTCCGTCTCCACTGTGTTGTCAAAATTCTTTCAGTTCACCCAGGGTGTGTGGAAGATTCCAGGCCACTTAGGAGTGTGCAGATACTGGCACAAGTCACTCCTCCCATATTCTACCAGTCAAAACGAGTTACAAGGCCAGCCCAACTCCAGGGGGAGATGGACTCTGACCCTGCACAGGAAGCCTTATCTGCAGGGATGGGAAGAGCTTTGGCTGTCATTTTACAGACTGTCATCCGAGCTAATTTTCTATTCCCTGAGTGCATTTAAGAGGGAAAACATAAAAAACATATGTTTGGCAGCCAAATATGATACATTGATACAGAGCAAATGGCGGAGCGGGGGGGAACTCAAGAAAAATATGATGCTGTCTTTGGCATTCATAAGTAGAAAGTTCTGGCTAGAACAAATTATTGAATTGCCTGTTTTGTTCTACTCATGTCTTAAATGGAAATGGAGAGGCTTGCTGTACTTAGAGATACCTAAGTGCTCCAGGTTCAAATTCCATTTCCATTACAGCTTAGCTTCCTAAACTTAGAGAAGAGTTCCCCTTAGTTAATTTTTTAGGATCGTCATGTTTAAAACGAGCATGGTGGGTGACATGTGCCTCTCAGGAGTATGGCAAGGATCAGATGGATTATGCAGAGTTCGAAAGCTTCCTGACACTGCCGGAAGGCTCCTTGGAGCTCCATGCTAGGTTAGAAGCTTCTGGTTGTCTACGTAATGGCACTAACCCTGTGCTGATGCAGGGCTCCATGCCTGGGCACAAGAAGCTGCCTTCTGCCCTGGCAGGAGTTGACATCTTCTCTGATGGACCAAGGAAGGTCACACAGATCGTGTGATGACATCAGTTGACTCGAGACGAGCTGGCTTCACTGGGGAGGGTCTCTCCAGCGAGGAGATGGACTGACACTGGTCCCAGACACAACAGAAGGGTAGAAGAGTCCTGGCAGAGCTAAGAGAATAACCATTGTCATTGGAACCCACACAGAGCAAGGGCGTTTATGGGACAACGCAGGCTCTGGAGTAAGTACTGGTGAAGGTGGGGCCAACCCAAGATTCACAGCTGTGGCTGCATCACAGCAGGGCACACTTGCCATCCTAGGGGCTGATTTTGTCTCAAGAGCACAGCCAGATGCAGTGATGGCATAAACTCAGCACTGTCCAAAAACAAGGCATTGTGTCATATATTAAGGAACAGAATACTGTTTCATTTTCTAAATCTTAAGAAATCCAGTTCTATAATAGTGACAGTCTGTGGAAACATACTTTGATAGATCATTTAAGTGCAGGTTCCATTATCTTATTTTACAAGCTAGATGTTTACGACTAGATCCTGTGAACAATAATTCCTGATGTGCGTGACTCCTATGCCGTGTGCCTTCTTCTGCAGTGCTTCTTTGAAAGTGCTTTAGGGATGATTTCACTGGGATGCTATTGCCATGTTTTGATTTGAGCTAGCAGTGTGAGTGCAGCTCATTCAGTGGATGGGGGTAAACTTTGGCCTCACATTGGTCCAGGACAGTCCTGCTCTTAGATGTTCTAGAATACTCCACATACAGGAAAGGGCAGAAGATCATAAAGGAGTGGCAACTCTGTCAGACATGCTCTTAATTCCTGATGCATGGATGAAAGGAGCCTCTTGCGTGGATGTGGGAACACTGAGGGGGTGTTGCCTCAGTGTGGGGGAGAGAGTCAGCATGAATCTAAAGGCCACCAATCTGTCATTACTGAAGTAAATTACAGGTGGTTGTCAAATGACTCATTGAGTCGGGGACTTCCATTGGTTGTTTCAAAAAAACAGAAGAAAAAAGCCACCGTGACATCTTCCTGTCCCTAGTCAGCTATAGGAACATTCCACGAATCAGGACTTCTCCTCCGTACGAGGAATTTAAACCCCGCTAAGCTTCTGGCACAGCCTGAACCAGCATGAGCCCTCTGGCTAATAGCTTCTTTACCCAGGGAGTTGGAGGGTGTTCTGCTTGAAGCTCTTTGCCCAGTTTGTGGTGCAAGGTAAGATAGTAGATAGAGTCCACAGAGGCATCCCCCAGATAGTAGTGACCTAGAGAGAGGTCACAGCAGGGCGATATGATGTCATGAAAATGGAGGAACACTACAGGCTACGAAACTCAGCATTGGACAGGAGGCTGTTGATGGACTCAGTCTGACATTGAGATGAGAGCATGTGGGCAGGGGGCTTCAGCTGGGTCCGTTCCAAGCCTGTGAGCAGCAGAGTGCAGGTGCTGGTATACTGTCCTGGTTGAACATAGGGGCCTTACAGAGTGATGCAGAAGATGGAGGGATTTTCTCTGG